CACAGCATCTTGGAGGCACCTTGTAGACCCACAGCAAGAAGTGTCATTTGTCAAATTGGATGTAAAATAAATTAAGTGCAATTCTGGTGTCCACATGCATTACCGTCCCCCAAAAGGCCCAACACACTAACTTGGGCAGAACTTACAAAGCTCAGTGTCACCTCCTCTGTGGCAAACTTAATTGCTCCCTCCCCTGTACTGGCCAAACAGTATCACGACTGCTGCCTGTTGCATGTGTCTCCCCAACAGGTTGATAGGCATATTGGTATAATACGACTATGTCCTATTGATGTTTGTGTCTCTGGTAGCTCACACAAATTGGTAGCTTGTTCATAGTTCTGCCATCAGCAAGAATTTGCTTGATGACTGCAGGGATTTTTATCGGACAATAGTTGGGTATCAGAATCCCACCCCAATTCTGAATATGCTCTGCAGAGTGCCGACCAGTTGCTATTCCTAATCTTTAGAGTCCTGCAAAAGTACTGAGGGACCGTGGACTTGGAATTTCTATACAACAATTCACAGCAGGAAAAGGTGATTCTGACCCCCACATGTCTCAGGACCCTGGTGGGGGAAGGCTATTAGTGAAATTCTGATAGCTAAAATAATTCAACTCAACACCGTAACAAAACATTTTTGGTGTGTGCCAAGCACTGTGCTGAGCTTCTATCTTGTGGGCTCCTCGCTGTAACCACAGCCGGGCACTCTCATTGTACACATTGTACATAGGAGGAACCTGGGACAGGCAGATGAAGTAACTTGCCCAGGTGAGGGAGGCTGTGTGAGTATTCCACATGCCTCTCACTTCCGAAGAAAGCAGAAGGAATCATTTCTGCCGCGTTCCCGTAGACTCGGCATTCAGGCGTGGCCTCACTGCATCACTGGTAAACAGAGAGCATGTCAGACTCGTTGGCCAAGTACTGAGTCCCCAGAGAACTGGGACTGTGTGTTCATTGCTCACTGCTTCGCCTCCCCACTTAGCAGAGTGGCTGACTTAGCTTCTCAGTAAGTATCTTCTGAGTAACTGGGTGAGGGGAGCCCCTTTCCAAAACTACAGCTTCTGGGGAGTCACCCAGAGAAAGGGATGAAGACAGACTCCTCCTACCACCCCAGTTGTGTGTGTGTGTGTGTGTCCATAGTGGGCCACTGAAGTCTGGTGGAACTGACAGGCAATTAAAACCAGCCCCCTTATTTTGCTCAAGTAAAAGTTTTTTAAATAATGTTTTAAAATTTTTAGAAAGTCAAAGTAGTTTTTAAAACTATGTGTAACTTGAAACTGGGCAATTCCACTTCAAGTCTAGGCTAAGACTCTTCAAGGCTGAATGCTTTGAGGCCACAACTGTGCAAGTGGGGCTGTGGGGGGAGGGGCAGGGGTGCTGAGCAGCACACGCAGCAGGCGGGGCAGTGCCCAGGGGCTGAGCTCTACAGACGGCTGGGATGGTGTCAGGCTGCAACGGGCCTGCCCGTTACTGCAGGGTGATGAGGGGGATCCAGATTAGCCAAACTCTGCTTTTCAATAAAGCCCAGAGACTTCCATTTTCGAATATAGATTACAAAAAATGGAGCCAAGTTATTCCCCTCCCTCCAAGCCCTCGGGTAGAGACCTCACACACACAAACCCTAGGCAGGCCTTAGGACTCACTTTGGCCAACAGGATATTAGAAAAAGGGATGCAAACAAAGGCTTAAAATATGCTTGCATACTGGAGCTTGAATTCTTGCTGCCCATGGAACCCCTGTCCCCTCTGCAGCAGTGAGGAAGTGGGGCAAACTTTATGAGTAGAGGTGCGTGACCCAGACCGGCCACTTCCAGTCAAGTGAGTGAGGCCATCCAGATGACCCAGCCTCAGCCAGCCCACCTCAGATTCGGCAGAGCCAGGGGAGTTCTCGTCGACCCAGAGCAGAGCAGTCCAGCCAGCTTCCAGAATTGTGAGCTAAGTTTTAAGCCAATACATGTTGGGATGGTTTACTATGTAATAAAAGCTAATTGGTAACAAAATTTAAATATGTTTCAAGCTGAACAAATGAGGAATCCAGTTCACTATAACCTCTGGTGAATGTAGAGTTAATCACAATGACTTACTTCTCTTACATGCCTTTATGATAGTCAAAAACCAAAAGCCACCTGAAGATCCATATAATGTACCAGGAAGTGTTTAACAAGTCGTGGCACATGCAGATGCTGGAGAGGCACTAAAAATGATGGTGGGGAATAGCAGCCACCTGGGGATCCACGGTGTGCCACCCAAGTCTGGACTGATGGGGGTGACTTCACTGCCCCTGAGAACACATGCTCTTGTAGAATCAGAACACTGGGCCCAGTGGCCTACACAGTGCAGTGGGCGGAGGGGGTGGGGGGGCACGTCTTGCTGTAAGGGAGAGATACAAAGCTCAGAAAGGACCAGAATATTTACAAGAATGTGCTCAACTTTGCTTCTTGAGGATATAAGAGGGTGCAGTGAGGGCAGTAAACAGTCTACTCAAGTGATGACGGGCTGTGAATGGAGAGTCAGGCGGACAGGGTTCGACAGTGAAAGCCACTGTTGCACTTCGCAGTGAGTGTCCTTCCGTTTCTTCAAATGTGCTGCCAGAACTCACAGGGCTTAAAGGAGTTCTCCTAACACAACGGATATTGACAATCACTGGAACGGAAAAATCTTTACTGATGTGAAAAGATATGTTAACCAAAAGAAACCAATTATAAAATAGCATGTACCACACAATCTAATTTTTGTTATAAGAAGAATATGCAGGCATAGACAGTAGTAACTAGAGGACAGAGACCCAAACTGGGGTTTAATGGTGGTTATCTTTGGAAGGTGTAGCAGTGATTCTTATTGTTTTCTTCTTGCTTATTGGTATTTTTTAAACTGCTATAGCACAATTTTTGTGATGAAAAAATTTCGTAGAAGTTAGTTTTTTTAAAGTTTGGGGGTACACATGCGTGCACACACATGCACACAAATGTATACCAACACACACGCCCCCTAATCCAGTTGGAGCAAGACTTTTTCTTTAATCTTTTTTTGTCAGTGCCTGCAAATGCTCACCACATCGTTGAACTCATGCATCGGAAGTGAGCAATCCTGAAACTGTGGAGTCTTCCTCCATGCAGAAACACGGGGACTCCTTGCTTGGGAGGTGGGCTAATGTCATGGCGCATCACTCTTTGAGACCAGAGGCAGAAATGAGGCAGTGATCTGGATGCTCTGTCCTTCCATTCTGCAAATCTCCTGCAAAATATTAGCAGGCCCATACAGATGCAGCTGCCTTTCCACACTGGAGACACCGCACTCATTAAGGGCAGCAAGTTGGAGCTCTTTCATGGCCCCGGCGTCCCACCATGCGCACCATGTCATGATTTGTCCTTCACTGCTGACAGAGCACAGAAGTATGTCTGCACATGACAGATTCCTTACAAACGGCAGGCAGATGACCTAGCTAATCACCTGACCTACTTCTAAAATGCCATCTAGCAGACTCAGCAGAGTCCAGCTCTACTTGCTCATCCATCAATGTGGTGAGAGTGAAAGCCACAGCAACCCTCCGTTAGTAAACCCAGAGGATGAAAAGCAATGCAGCAAGTCCAGGGTTCAAAAGGACAAGCAGTTCAGTGAAGATGACATGGAAGCACAGTCTGTCACTGGACACAGTGCGGGGGCCAAATGTATGAGAATTTTACAAAGTAACCAATCAATGGCTGGGCTACTGAATGGACAGTGAGAGCCAAGGAGGCCAGGGGACCATTCCTTTGAACTGCCTGTAGGACTATAAAATAACTGGAGTTTTTTTAGTGAAGGGAATGCAGTTATCAGACACTCAAAAGGATGTTGTCACCACACCACTGCCATCTTTTCGGACTCTATGTCCAACTCTACTCCTCCGTGCACTTGGCTTCAGAATGGAGAGAGATAAAAAGTACAATTACGTTTCCTTTGAAAAATCCTGAATTAGGTTAGCATAAGAAATAGATTCTTTGATTATTTGGAAAGTCAGATCACAAATTGGGGATGCTCACCCGTCCCTCTCTTGATTGGACCTATTATAGGAGTAATAAGATTACATCACACTTTAAAGCATAGCAAGAAGCATGGTAACAGCACTTTCTCCTACACTATGCAGCTCTGTGTGTGACCTGCAGCCAGGCGCAGCCACAGCAGAGGATAACAGCTCCTATGTCCTGGGAGGCAATTACGGACCAGGCGGGTACTGGATGAGCCCTTAGCAGACATTTTTCCCTGCATCATCCCCAAAATCTTGGAGGTGGGGACAATCATTTTCTCATTTCACCAATGAGGAAACTGAGAGGCTTAGAGAAGTGAAGTTACTTATCCAAGGCAATGCTGCTAACAGGAAGCAAGCAGGACTCAAGCTTCTTCCGTGAGCTTGTGAGAGAGCAGGAGCAGCAGAAGCTGCGTGGAGGAGCCGGAAAGGGCACACAGGTGCAGTGCTCCCAAACCCACATTCTAGCTCATTCGCCCAGCAAGTCACTTAATCTCCCTGCAGACAGAGGCTCACCTCTCTTACCCAATTACTTCATAAGATTTTTGTGAGGTCCAAATGAGATTCCATTTATGAAAAGCCTTAAAAACAGTAAAGCGTTTGACAAATATGTCATTACTATGTCACTAATAAAAGGACAGAAGCCTAAATCATATTCCTTAAGGCATGACACTTCAGTCATTAGGGCTTCAATGGAAAGACCACTCCCCTTTTGTCCCCAGACTAAATCCCTTAAATAAAGGGTACAGGATTTTCTTAAGCAATCTCTTAAAGATGAAGGGCTCAGGTATACATGCTGGTGCTTGAACTTGTCTTTGCTTCAGTGTCTTAAATTTAATGCAGATACCCCACCTGATCTATTTATCCTGACTAAAGAAAGTAACCATTTCCTTGTTACTATCAGTTCTGTTTCAGAGAAATGACTACTGTAAATTTACACCCTTAATTCATGCAATTCAAGAAAAGGGAAAAAAACATGACACTTTCTCACAAAGGGAACCACATTATATATAATAATTTACTTTTTATTATCATCATCATTATCATCATCAATAGCAAAGTCCACATTTCCATTCCCAGGCAACTTAAAAGTGGATGTTTTATGTATAAGACAGTTGCATGTAATGTGATAACACAGTATAGTTTTTGAGCCACTGTGCTTCACCCATCTATTAAAAGGCAACCTCACAATTAAAACCTGAACAGTTAAAATAATGCAATCTTCGAGCAATTGAAAATGATGAACTGTGAAGCCAAACTGGGAGATCTGAGTGATCTGGCCCTTCAGGTGATGTCAAGTACAAACCCTGTTTTCTCATTTCATCTATGGATCATTGAAAAGAAAACATACACCGCCCGCCAACAAAAAGCTACCTGCCCCGGGCACATGCGACCTGGGGACTCACTCCCCATAGGGCGACCCCATCACTCCAGCATATGCTGGAGCACTGAGGGGTCCGCCTCCACGGCCTGGAGGCCCCTTTGCAAGCTCTGGAAGGTGGCCTGCTTTCCATAGCGCTGCCTCCAGCGGACGAAGGCCTCTACCACCTGCGAGTGCACGTTGTGGGGGTGGTTGGCCTTGCAGCGGTAGATGTCATTCTGGGACAGTCCCAGGGACAGCACCATGGGCTCCCACTCGGGGCCCAGCCTCTGGGCCAGCTGGTTAATCTGCCGGTCTGACGGGGAGCTGCTGAGGATGTGTGGGGGGATTCCAGCAGTCTGGTCATCTGCGGAGGAGAGAGACACCGAGGTGAGAAGAGCAAGCAAACACATCAGCAGGAGGCAAAATTGAAAAATGCCGGGAGAGTGACATATGCCTCCAAATGTCGGGGGCCCACTTTTCCTAGTCTGCTTGAAGCTGCTCAGTACCAGGCCATGGACAGGTGCTTAAGAAATACCATTTGGCATCTACAAAAATTCAGTATTTATTACAGAAAATTGGAAAACAAGAAAACAAAAATAACTGAAAATCCTATCAAAGAAGCCAACTGATAATAATTTGATGTATTTCCTTTTAGTTCTGTATATCTAAATACACATTTAGGGCTACATTGCACACACTGCCTTGTATATGCTGTTTTCACTTCCAGCTCTTTCACCAGAGAGGCCAAGCAGGGGTGGCAGGAACGAGAGAAGGCTGCACAGGCCCCAGTTCCTTCCAGCTCTGGCCAGTGGCACAGGGATGACAGTCTCCTGCAGCACTGGCTAGAGCAGGAGGGTAACACACCACAGAGAACAGCTACGCGCGCCTGATAAACTTGAACATCGCAAATAAAAGGTGCAGTTTCTAACAGAAGCAGGAGTCAAGAGGCCACTAAGCAGAAAACAAACAACATGGCCATGAGGCAGCAGGTAGAGAGGACAGCCGAGTCCTCTGCTCCAGCACAGGCCACAGGAGCAGAGTTACCACCCAGCAGAGTCCGGGGGAGGAAGAGAGAGTGTGCTGAGGATGGGCAATGAGAATCTGACCTCACAGTCCTACCTGGGTTCCAGTCTCCTGGAGGCCAGGGTGCTGAGGAAGTCTGACCTCCGGTGAGGGACTAGTCCACAGCACAGGCAATGAGAAGTGACCATGGTTCCACAGAAGGCCATCCAGAGGAAGGAAGTTAAAGCTATGCCCTGAACATAAAGGAGCCCAGCAAGAGGGAAGGAAAGGAGTGTGTGTACAGAAACAATTACACATACGAGAGCCCCGAGGCAGGAGAACGTGGCACATTCAAGAAAGGGAAAGAAGTTCACTGCAGCAAAGTACAGAGATCCGGGACTCCAAATATCTAAATGACAGTGCTGGTTACTGGACAGGCCAGGACTAGAAGTGAGGCCTTCCTATTCCTGGTTCAGACATCTGTGCGGTGGCACGTTATATGATCACACTTTCTTCCACCAGCACCATGACCTGTGGGTCAATTTCACTTCACACTCAGCAGCTCGCTGTTTGATTTATGAATGGAATAAGACAAAAGGTATCCTATCAGAATAGCTACTGTTTCCACTCATGTGCTTTTGGCAGCTGCCATTACCTTGGGCTTAAGTTGTAAAGTTAATGCCAAAGATACTTTCTGGTGTTTATTAAGATCGTAATTTTTTAAAAAATGACTAACTAAGAAGCAATAAGAATAATGATAATACTGCTGACCAGTATTTTATATTAACAGTAATAATTTTATGGCTTTTATAAAAAATATGGGCTCACTAAAAATCCAAGCAACACAAAAAAGTACAAAGAAGAAAATGAAGCATCCAGTATCCCACCATTGTATCTACAGCAGGTCGACACAACTTTGGACGTGTCTTTATGCACGTGTGCTGTTAGAGGAACACTATAACAGCTTTTTCCTAAGAGTTATTTAATTTTGTTTGAAGAAAAAGAAGAGAAACTAAATGACTTTCTGACCTGCAGTGAAAATAGTTAAAACATATGCACACGAGAATCAATCCTGAGACATATTTTTTAAGATTTAAGAAGATGTAGAGCATTAATTTTCACATTAATGCCCTACAATGAACACTTTATGTATCCTCTCCCTTTCCTTACACCTCTTTTTTTTTTTTTGCTTACATCACTTTCACTTTGCCGGTTGTGTAGCATTTATATGTTCTTGTAACAATAACACCCCCTCCCTGACTGTTTAGGGTTAAAACTATGTATGATGGTTTGGTCACCCTTGTTTTTGTGGTTACCGTTTTTTTAACCACAGAATTTCTACTTCCGAGCCTGCTATTTTGACTTTAGTCTTTGGGTCAGTTTCGTCATAGGGTAGCTTTCCTAAACAAACGCTCACAGTTACTGTATTCCTTGAGTTCTTTCAAATCTAGACTGTCTGCTTATTGCCTTCACTGCTAAATAATAACTTAATATTTTTGAACATTTCATATATTATTTTAATGTTATACTTTTAAATTATAACTATAATTTTATGTTACTTGAACAATTTTATTCCTCTTATAAGTTTGTATACCTCACTTGTATTTCATGGTAGAGAATGTTGGTGTGGAGGATTCTGATACCAATTTGCTTTCCTCATTTCATATAACTTGCTTTTTCTGTCTGGAGTTTACAGTGCTGAAGCTTTAGACTAGGGTACAGCTTGGCCATCTCCTCTCTGCCCTTCCAGGCATGTGCCATGACCTGTGACCAAAGATTTGCCTTCCTGTGTTGTATCTTTGCATTCTCTGTCTGCCTCATGCTTGTTGACTTTGCCCATCCTCCACAGCAATCTTTTCCCTCTCAGTGCTTTAACGCTGTGGTCAACTCCTGCTTTTCCCCACGCCACTTATTTGATTTTCCATAATATCTGTTCTGTCTTTCATTCCTGGTTCAAATCTTGTTTTGTGATTTTGTTCTCAATTTATTTTCTTGGATCTTTAATTAATTTCTTAAAACTCCCATTTCATCTCACACCCATTAGGATGACTACTAACAAACACAGAAAATAGATTTCCGGTCAAGATGGTAGAGTTGGTAAATGCTGTGCCTGCTCCCACGACCCATCAAAATTACAACTAAATTACAGGACAACCATTCTTGTCAACCAGCCAAATACTAGCTGAACAGAAGTCCTATAACTAAGGATATAACAAAGAAGCCGTGTTGACTTGAGCAAAGCTGGAGACACAAAACAAGCTGGTCCCACAAACAGTGTGGTGGCTAAGAAACACGAGCGATATCTTGGCTGTGGGGATATCCCCACAAGGAATGAGGGGGTCCCAGCCCCGCACCAGGCTCCACAGTCTAGGGTTCCAGGGCTAGGAGGGGAAGTCCCCACAACTCCAGAGCTCCAGCCTGGGGACAGAAGCTGGGAAGATGCCAAGGACGTAAGGGGAGAAACTGAATTGTCTGGCTCAGGAAAACAGATGGAGGGGTAGCTTCCTCCCCAGTAGAAGTGCTGGCAGACAGCACTGTTCCTGTTTCGACCCCTCCCACAACACAGTCTGTGGGCACAGGTGAGCAACGGGTCTGACTCTCCATCAACATGGCTAACAACCTTTGCCCTGCCCTGGTGATGCCCTGAAACCCTGTCCCACCCAGTTTGTGGGCCTGCACAAGCTGCTTCAAATAGCTTTTTCATACAAATGTCTGTTCTCGGCTTAAGCTATGGACCTTTGTAAGGTCCATATGGATCCTATGGATCATAGGTTCACAAATCCCAAACAAGCAGTGTCTGAGACCTCAGCGTGCTCCATAACTCTTCTAAGTGGCTCCAAGCTGACCAAAGTGGCAGCTGGCCTTGGTTTGTAGTTTAGCCTCTCCCAGGCAGGGCTAAGCCCACCAGGAGTGACAACCATCTGCAGATCACTTTGTAGCTCCAACCAGATAGCCCCAGGATACGAAGAAACAGTGGCTGAAGTAGCCTGCATCAGAGCCCCACCTAAAAGGCCCCATAATCAACATCCCCAGTAGCTGGCTTCAGATCACATCAGAATATCACCCAGTTAGCTCCACAATAATACACCCAAAGAGCCCGACCACAGTGAATCAGGCTCCACGGGATCAGCCACTGTAAAACATTTCATCTGATGTAGTCACAGCCATTCCATAGCAAATCAGGCTTAGGATCCGTCCCTTCCACTGACAGGCCAACAGCAATCAAGGCTCAACTACAACAAGAGGGCAAATGCGACTCACATGAGGGACACCCCGGAAGCACCTGGATTGGGGACGAGGGAGACTTCGCTGCAAGGCTCCAGAGGACACTGACCATGATGGGAGACAGAGCGGAATCTACCTCACACATAAAAACAAACAGCAGGAATCAGCTAAAATAAGGAGAAAAAGAAACATGTTCCAAATGAAAGAACAGAACAACACTTCAGAAAAAGAATTAAGCAAAATAAATACAAGAAATTGACCAGAGGTAGAGTTCAAAATCTGGTTATAAGGATGTTCAGAAAACTTAGGAGAAGAGAAGATGAACTCAGAACTTTAACAAAGAGATGGAAAAACATTAAAATGAAAGTAGGAAACATATAAAATAACAAGTCAGAAATGAAGATTACAATAACCGAAATAAGGAATACACTAGAGGGAATCAACGGTAAAGCAAATGAAGCAGATGACTGAATCAGCAATTTGGAAGGCAAGATAACAGCAAAAGAAAAAAATCTGAAATGCGGGTAGTTACGATATCACTGAGATAACAGCAAGTGTACCAACATGTGCATCATAGAGATATCAGGAAGAGGACAGAAAGAAAACAATGGACTGAAAACTTATCTGAAGTAATAGTAGTATGGGGGATCACTTTGTAAAGTATATAATCATCTAACCACTGTGCTGTACACCTAAAATGAATATAAGATAATACTGAATATAAACTGTACAAAAAATAAAATTAAAAAAAGAAAGAATGACAGAAAACTTCTCTAACCTGGCAAAGGAAGTCAACATAACAAGCCCAGGACCACAGAGAGTCCCAAATAAGATGACCCTAAAGAGGACCACACCAAGACACATCATAATTAAAATGCCAAGAGTTAAAGACAGAATCTTAATGCAGCAAGAGAAAATCAGTTAGTTACCTACAGGGGAGCTGCCATAAAACTCTCAGCTGATTTCCCAACAGAAACTTCCCAGGCCAGAAGGGACTGGAATGAAACATTCAATGTGATAAAGCAAAAAACTACAACCATGACAACTCTACCCAGCGAAGTTATCATTTAGAATTGAAGGCAGATACAGAGCTTCCCAGACAACAAAAAACTATAAGAGTTCATCATTGCCAAACCA